AGTGCATGGAGACAGGTCGGATATCAGCGCGGCGGGAGGTAATCCGGACACCAGCCCGAGGGACAGCTCGGACACGGACATCAGCCCAATCGAATGAAAGCTCCGACACCAGCCCAGAAAACGGCGCAGGGGGCCAGGTGGAGAAGTTCGGGCACGAGCCTGGAAGCAGCGTGGAAACCAGCGCGGGGGGGGGGTCAGACTACAACCTAGGGGATGTTTGGGACACCGGACACATCGCGTAGAAAGCAACACACGCAACACTCAAGCACCCTGACACACAAGCATCACTCGTTCAGCTCCGCACCCCCCGGCGCATCACGCACGGCGATGCGTCGTGGACGTGACTTGGCGGCAAGGCTGGCGACCACGCGCGCCCTCGCATCGAACCGCTTCCAAGGTTCGCCCTCATTTGAGCGCTGGCTAGCGGCAATGTCAGACACCGCGTGCCCGCGGATGCTGCGCGCCTGCCACCATCGCGAGGCCGATGCCTTAAAGAAACGGCCCGTCGGCAGGGCCGGCGGCACTGCAGATTCCCAAGTTTAACCGATAACCGAAGTTGTCTCTGTCTGGACGCTGACTGGCGGCAGTGCCTGATATCGCGCATCCACAGATTACGCGCGCCCGCGTTGGAGGGTGAAACTCGGGGTCGGGCGCAGGGCCCCGGCAATGATGTCTCTATGGGCCATACATGGGCGATGCATCCTCGATTGCTGCGCTCGGCGGGAATGCAGCCCCCCGCCTGCACCCACGCGCGAGACTGAAAGGCAAACGAAGCAAGGAGGCGGGGGGTTCGGGAAAGGCGACGAAGACAACGCGCGCTGAGGGCGCAAAAACAGAAGGTTGGAATAAACAAAAGCGTTGAGGTGACTGTCGAAATCTGCCCAGCCAGTCTGACATGCGGAACACTGCGCCTCATTCTGGGATATTGAGGGCCAGGGCAAAATGTGCATTCACATTGCGGGGAAAAGGGAAACTGTGAATTCACCGTTTGGGGACAAGAAACATGTCAGTTCACAGTTTGGAAAAAAAAAAAAAAAAAAAAAAAAAAAAAATGTGAACTCGCATTTTTGAACGTTGCATAAGAAAATGCATGAAGTGGCTGAAACGTTAGTTCACATTCTGGGACAAGGAAAATGTGAGTTCACATTCTGGAAAAGGAGAATGTGAATTCACATTGTGGAATAATCGCGGGGCCCATTCGAAATTTGTCTTGGGGGTCGACAAGTCATCGTTTCGAAAAAACACGCGATCCTCAATCGCACATACAAGACACCTTTTGCACTTCCCTGCGCCGCCCCAGGAGCGATATGCAGTAACGCCCGCACGCACGAACGATAATGGATGGACGGCGCGTTTGCCCGCGCGGGCAACGCGCGGGCACGGACGATTGGCCCTCCATGACCGCCAACATTGAATATCAATCATACCCGATCACATACATTAGCGATTGATTAAAACTACATGGGCCATTCAGCCCCCATAGAGGACACCCTGTCGCAGACCCCTTTCACCCTCCAACCATGTCACTCGCGAGTCCGTTTGCCCGAAGGACGCAGCCCGGCGAAAAGGCAAGCGGACCTGTGCGTTCCATGTCCAACCGCTACCAAGTCTCGCCCACTTTCGGACGCAGGCTGGAGGCAATGTCAGGCCCCGTGCACCCCCAGAATATAGGGGCCTACACCAGTCGCGAGACTGTCGTTCAAGGACTCGACCCGACGGCAAGGCCAGCGGCCCCGCGCGCCCCCGCGCAGAGGACTCCGGCCGGCCTCAACCCAAATGCCTTCAGAAACAACAAGCAGCACTCCATCGATCAACTCGTCTCGATCGCCACGTCGGAGGTTCTGGCCTCCAGGACACAAGCCGGCGGCAGTGCCGGCGGCCCCGCGCGCCCACACTTCTTTGCGCCCGTGCGCCTCCAGGACACGGCCCGACGACGCCGCCGGGAGCGCTGTTCACATTCTGACAGGTCGGGAGGTTTTGGCCTCAAGAACAAAAGCCAGCGCCAACGCCTGAGGGGCCCCGCGCACCTTTCCGCGCGAGGCGCGCGCGCATTGGCTGGCGACAACGCCGGGGGCGTTGTTTCCGCTGGACACGTCAGTGATTCCGCCCTCTAGGGCACTGAGCTAGCGGGCTTGCGCGCCGGGTCGGAGGCGCTGAGTTCCAGGTCACCGCCCAGCGGCAACGGCAGCAATCCTGCGCAACTTTCCCCCCACGAGGCAAGTCACAGCACTGCCCGGCAACGACGCCGGAGCCTCTGTCCTGCAGGACGCAGCCCAGCGGCAATACCGGCGGTCCTGCGCACCTTTCCAAGCCCGGCCGGCCCCCGACGGCCTTGGGCCCCAGGCGGTCGTCAGAGGTCGCCGACCGCCCGCGACCGCCAGCGCGGCCCGGACCAGGGGCCCACTACACTGGGGGAGCGCGCGGCGCCCGTGGGCAATTTTTTGAAAGTTTGCGCCAGGGGGGCGGCACGTTCGAAAATTGTCCGGGCCCACTGGCGGCCAGTCTCGCGCGACGCAGCTGGGGCGAGGCAGCGGAGAGCAAGGCTCTCCGCGCCTCGGGGGCGCAGGTCGGAGATCCACGCACCACTTCGGGGGGGGCGCGCGTTATTTCGCGGCCCCTCAAATATAACATCAGGAACGGGGGCGCGTTATTTCACAGCCCCTCAAAAATAATACATCGAACCACGCCGGCGCCAAGCTCGAGCAGCAGCATGCCCCCACCCCCAAGCCGAGGCGAACGGTCGAAAGAGCGGTCACGCCCCGCCCGCGACGTCGCCCCTCCGCCCCAATACCCCCCCAAACACGGCCGCTCGAAATCGCAGCCCACATGCTTCCACCGGCGCCACACTCGCCACTCTTTCCCCGCCTTCCCCTCCCATCTGTCGCCTTTGGCCTGGGACGCGCGGCATTTTGATCGGGCGTAGGCCCGTCGCCCAGGACGGGCGCACGCGGCAGCAATTCGGGGCGGCCGCGCGGGCGACCCTTCGCTCTTGGAGAGCGGCCACGAGTTCGAGGGGGCACCCCCTCTGGCAACGCGGCGCGCGTGGAGGCAGGAGGCGAAGAAGAGACCTCGTCTCAAATACACCCGCATCAAACGGGCGGAGAGATACACGCGGCCCGCCCTTCGCGGCCCCGCCGAGGCCTGGCGCCCCCCCTAAGTCCAGTCCATGCAGGGCGCAGGGGGGATCCTGGAGGACGGAGGGATGCAAACCTGTGAGAGAGCGTGATCCACCGCCGCATTACTGTGGAAAACGCCCCCCCTCCGAAAATCCCCCCCTTCTGCTGACCCCCCTCCCCTCCTTCCTCCGGAACCCCCCCTTTAATCCCCCCTCCGAAAAACCGGGGAGGGCCACTACCGGTTCGATGCCCCCCCCCTCCGGCAAACCGTGGCGGGGTCGCTACCGGTTCGAACACCCCCTCTCGAATACCGGGGGGAATCACTAACGGTTCGAACCCCCCCATCGAAAACCAGAAGGGGCCACTACCGGTGCGACGCCCCCCCCACAAACCCCACGCCCACCGCCAGCACGCAACTCTGGGCCCCTACCACCGTCCGCACCACATCCCTCACTGCTGTCCCCAGCAACACTGTCCTCACCACCACTGTCCCCACTGTTCCCACCACCGTCACCACTGTCCTCACAAGTGCCCCCACCACTGTTGCACTGTCTCCACTGCCCCCACCACTGTTCCCACCACGGTTCCACTCTCCCCACTTTCTCCACGGCCCCAACAACTGTCCCACTGCCCCCACTGCCCCACTGTCCCACTGTCCCCGCCGCTGTTCAACTGAGCTGTCCCACTGTTCCCACCACTGCCCCCACTGTCCCCACCACTGTCCCTGTCGTACCTCTGTCCCATTATCCCTCCGCCGTCCTCGCCACCGCCCGCACCACTGTCGCCACCACCACTGCACCCTCCACTGTCCCACTGCTTCAGCCACATTCCCACTGTCCCCACACCACTGCCCCCACCACCACTGTCCCCACCACTGTCCCACTTTCCCCACTGTTCCCACCATTGTCCCCGCTGTCCCCACCAGTGCCCCCCACCAGTGTCTCGCTGTCCCCACTCCCACCACCATTGTCCCACCACGGCCCCCACTCTCCCCACTTTCCCCACGGCTCCCACCACTGTCTCACTGTCCCCACTGTTCCCACCACTGTCCCACTGTCCCCGCCGCTGTCCCACTGTGCCGCCCCACCGTCCCCACTGTCCCCATCACTGTCCCACTGTCCCCACTGTCCCCGCCACTCTCCCCACTGTACTACTGTCCCACCACTGTCCTCACCACCGCCTTCACCACTGTCCCCACCACTACTGTCCCCACCACTGTCCCACTGCACCCACCACTGTTCCGCTGCCCCCTCACCACTGCCCCCACCACTACCGCCCCCACCACTGTCCGCACCACTGCCCCACTGTCCCCGCACCACTGTCCTCGCCACCACCGTTCCCACAACTGTCCCAACATCCCCACCATTCTCCGACTGTCCTGGGGAGCGGGCATCGTTCGCCGGCGGCGAAGGGGGTGAGGGGGGGGGGGTCGAACTGGCAGCGCCCGCCCACCCCCCCCCGGTTTTCGAGGGGGGGGGTCGAACCGGCAGGCAGCGACCCCCCCTGGTTTTCGGAGGGGAGGGGGGGTATTCGAAGCGGCAATGACCCCCCCTTGCCACAATGGAGTGGGGGGAGGTTCGAACCGGCAGCGGCCCCCTTCGGTTTTCGAGGGGGGGGGGGCGGGCTGGGGGCCCCCAGTGACCCCCCTGGTTTTCCGCCAGCAGCGGTAGAACACGCTCTTTCAAACCTGCGCCGACGAAGGCTGACAATATTGCGGTGTTAGCAAGCAAAATATCATGGCGGATCTCACCGAATCCACCTCCCGCCTCATCCCCATCTCTGATTACCCCACCCAGGCGCGCCCCCGCCCATCACCCGCACCTCCAGGAGGAACAAGGTCGTCTTGAGGTCACGGCGGGCAGAATGGCCAAGGCTGCGGCGATGTCAACCTGGCCGGAATGGCGGCGACTGCATAGACGCAGCGACCGTCGAGACTGCCAGGGCGCCCTGATCTCAACATAAACTCGAGCCAAAGCGCCGGGGCGCAGCCGCCTGCCGGGCGGCGCATCCGCAGCTGGGGGGACGGTTAGATATCACTCTGCGCCGGTGTATGCTTGCGAGCGCGGGGGGGCAAGACGCTCTGGGCGCAACTATTTGGATCGACGTGAATTTTCACCAGCCGTCGCAAGACGGCCAGCGCTCCGCGGACGAGAACGCGCCAACCCGTTGCCCCAGGGGTGGCGCCCCGCCCTGCTGTGGGGGAGGCTTTCCTCTCACCCACAGGGCGGCGATCAGTCCCGCTGGGGAGCCGCCTCACCGCCACCCCTAGAATGGCGATGCTCCGTACTGGTGTGGAGCAGGTCCCTCGGCCAAGCGCATGCTGGCGATAGGCCATGCCTGATAGCCAACCAACTGTCACCCTTTGCGGCGATGAGCCTGCATTGGAGAAGGGTCCCCATTCTCACCCCTCAGGTGGCAGGGTGCCCAGCAGTGGGCCGGTTTCCCCCGAAACCGCCCGGGTGGCGGCCGGATATCCTCTGGAACAAATCCTTCCTGTCACCCCACAGCGGAGACATCGGCGGCAGCGGAGGGGGTCCGCCCAGTCCACCCTTGGGGGGGACGAGCCGGCCTGCCTGAGAGCTGCCTACCCGTCACCCCTGGGGTGGCGATCCAACCTGCGATGGCGCACGTCCCCCCTTGTCATCCCTTAAGATGGCGCCCCCGCCTGGTGCAGAGCAGGTACCCATGCTGCCCGGATGCGGAGCGGCCCCCCGCGTCACCGCCAGGATGGCGATCCTCCCTGCGGTGTATCGGGCGCAAATGCCCCAATTGAAATAGCAAACCGTGAGCTGCCCCACGCCCCCCATATAAGGTAAGGAAGCCAGCGTACGAGACTATCTGGGGGATGCCAGCCCATCCTCTGATCAGGTGGTGAAACACGCTTCATGACTTGTCCTTTGTACAGTAGGAGGCGAGGCGATAAGGGCTATCGTGAAGCACACCTTGTCAAACTTAATGTGTCGAACACAAGTGGCTGTCTCGGGATACGCTGACCAAGCATACCATCCACCAACACCAGGTGCCAACAACAGTCCCTGCACAAGCTTTGGGACAAGAAGATTGCCATCCCAACATTCACGCAAACCTTCACCGGGCTATGCCCACCCTCAAGGGCATTAGCACTAAACTACAATCCTCCTCCTCCTTTTCCTCCTCCTCCTCCCCCTGCTCCTCCTCCTCCGCCTCCTCCTCATCCTCCTCCTCCTCCTCCTCTTCCTCCTCCTCCTTATCCCTCCTGGCAGATCCTCGGCCATCACGCTGATCTGGTCCATGAGCGAGCGGAGCTGTGGCATCGAGCCATGCGCCGAGTACTGGCCACGCGCAAGGCTGCGATCCAGGGCGCGCGAGCTGGCAACCTGCGCAAGCTGCGAGCAGGAGCCTCCTGGGACTTGGCCAAGCGCTACCGGCACGGCCACGTCGCATTCCCCGATGAGCTCCCACTGCCCAGAGCAGCCCTGCACGCACGGCCACTAATTCTACCAGTGCCCGCACACGCTGCAGCACCAGGGCGGGCGCGCGCGGGAGCGGCTCGCCAAGACATGCCACCTCGGCATCTCGGACGCCGGCTTTGACAGGCTCGACCTGGTGGTGGGCCTGCCGCTGCTGCCGCCGCGGCAACCCGACCCAGTGACCGTCGGCGCGATCCACTTCTGGGGCGACTGGTCATCGCCCATCCGAGGCCGCTCGACCATCGTCTACACCGACGGCTCGGACTACGACACAGCCTGGCCCGAGCTCTGCCGCTGTGGCTGGGCTGTCGTGCGAATGGGGCCTGACAACCTTCCAGCCCGCTCGGTCTATGGGAGGTTGGCAGGGCCGCGCCAGACGGTCGGCAGAGCCGAACGGACTGTGGCGCTGCAAGCCTTGAAACACATGCCGTGGTTGTGCCGCATCGTCTCCGACCTGGAGTCGCTGGTGCGCAAGCGGCTCTTGGGACGATAGCCCGGCCAGCTCCGGCCAGGCTTCTCATGGCGTCCTCCCCATTGAGACGTAGATCATGTCCTTGACGGCAGGCAGGTGGATGACTTCTACGGTAATGCTTGGCGGCCGACTTCTTCGCGAAGCTGGCGGCCAGTGAATACGTTCTGCCACACGTGGTACATGATGCCGTTGTTGCCAGGCTCTCTGACGCCCGCAGCGAGGCGAAGTTTGTCGCCTGGCTCATGGCCAAGCTGGGCGAGCAGCAAGATGAGCTCGACATGCAGGCGAGGAAGACCAAGCGCCTGGACGCGCCCACGGCACCAGTACAGGTGGTGTCAGAGCGCCGTCGCCTCCGCCCTGTGTTCGGAAGTTTCTGGCGCTGCGCCCTCCGCTCGGCCACCGCTGGCACCGACAAGGCCAGACAGCGCCTAGAGTGCGCGGTCTGCGCGCCCTCGCCGCTGCAAAGGCTCATGGCCGCGAGCTCCTCCTCCTCCACCTCGACCTCTCTCCCCTCGGCCCGCGAGGAAGCCTTAGCGGTGGCCGACGCTACGATCGCCCTCTGAGCTCGTTCGAGGCGCAGGGCCTCCTGCACCCGGCTGCGAGGCCTCGGACTCCTGCGACTCCTGCGGGGATTTGGGCACGTCCGAGGGGACCACTGGCGCCCCTACGCCTAATGTTTCGGGCGCTCTGGACGGGCAGCTGGCGTAGGACACCGTCTTGCGCAACCGTCTTGCAACCAGCTCGACTACTACGTCCGCTGACAGTGTGCCTTGCCCGGTCCAGTGGCTACTGTGTCCAGTAGGCGCGAGGCTTCAAGGGACAGCGATTCTGCTCTCCTTTGAGGACACCATTTGGTGACCGAAGGCCCCTTTGTGTTTTGTTTGCCTTGTGTTGATAACTACTCAAGCAGACAATCTCCGGTGCTGCTTGCCCAGTGCACAGGTCCTGTTACATGGAGCGTCAGTCGGAGGAGAACAAGGCCCTGAAGGATCTCAAGGCCAAGGGATCCCCCTGAGCGATGACACCCAACGCGGCTAAGGGGTTGCCCCGCTTTCCTTATCTACCTCGTAGCTCCCTCGTTTCTTCGGCGGATTTCATTGGGCTTGCGTCTCATCGTCCTTCTCCTCCTCCTCCTCCTCCTCCTCCTCCTCCTCCTCCTCCTCCAAGGCCTCAAAACCGTGAGGTGACGGACCGCGTGGTGGCCTCGGAATCCCCAACAACCTCACCGCGCGGTCCGTCACCGCACGCCTGTGGGGCATCGGAGGCCCCAGTCGCCCGAGACGTCCTCGGAGAACGACCCGAGTCCCCAAACCGTGCGGTGGCCCCGAATTCCCACTGACTCACCGCACGGTGTGGTCACCACACCGTTTGGGAGCCCCTGAATTCGTTCGCCCCAGAGCCATTTACGAAGAGGTCCTGGGGCCCGATGGCGGACCCCAGAGGCCCAGATCGGGGAAAAAAACACCTGCATCCAAGAAAAGACACATCGCTAGAGGTCTGCGAGGATACGCTTCCGGCTGATAAGAAGGGAGCACGACCACAGATCTCTACTCAACTCGGCATTCACCATGCGAATCGGAGTCGCTGGGCGAACTGTGAACGCCACCCAGGCCGACCTGCAACAGGAACAAGCCCATGCAGTGAACCGTGGCCAACAGAAGAACAGGCAACATATGAGTTGTCGGGGTTCCGCGCCAAATTCTTGGGCCTGCGCTGGGCCCCCCTCTCCTGAATGGAGGGACAGGAAACGCCATTCGGAATAGCCAGAATAAGCATGCCTTCTTGGAGGGATGCGCGGATCTCCTGGGTCGGCGCTGGACCCCCTCCCCTCAGGCGCGGTGCGCGCCAAGGGCGGCGCCAGACGCGTCGCTAGGACGGGGGGAGCCAGCGCCGCCCACCCACGAAACCTGCGCGGACCTCCGCAAGACTATATGTATGTGCCGTGTATGTATTTCCGTCCACCCCATGGACCCCTGAATCGAGGCCTCCCAAATGGGGTCCGAGAAGACGAGGTCGAAGGGTCGTATCGCATCGCCGATGCATCGGCGATACGGATCGATGTGGAGCCCGACTTTATTCACGCCGACGTCGCCGATGCATCGTCAGCGTCGCCGATGCATCACCGATGCATCGGCGGTGCATCAGGGATGCGGCGCAACCCTCCGACCCTATCTACTCGAACCCCAAAAGGGGGGCCTCTACTAAAGTCAGTACTTATGTTCGGTGCCTCCTGGGACCTTCCCCTCATCCCGAATTGCTTTTTGACGCTCCTGGGCCCTGCGGGGGCCCAAGGAGACCGCAAGCGGCGAAAACACTCCAGAACTGCTGCCTCCAGGACCCGTCTACCTCATCAGAGCAGAGGCACAATCAAACTAGAAGGTTGGCCCATGAACCAGCGGGGCGCGATCTGGAAAAAACACACACACACACACACACACACACACACACACACACACGCACGCACAAAAAAAAAAAAAACAAAAAAAAACATGCTGTCATTCCCGTTCGCCAGAACTCTTGGAGGGAGGCAGGAAAGCCTAGAATTTCAACGATAACTCGGATCGGCGAAAGAAATGAATCGAATCGGCGGAAATCAGCAGCCAAATCGGAATAAGTCGAATCGACGGAAATCGGCGGCCTAGTCAAGAATCCGTTGAATAAAATCAAAATCGGAAATCCAAAATCAAATCGAATCGGAGATGGGATCGATCGAAATCGAATAGGTTCGCGCCAGAAAGGTCGAAATGAGCCCTGGGGGGGGGCCGGGGCCCGCGCCACCGTAGACCTCGCTGACCCTCACGGTCGACTTGAAGGACAGCTTGCGCGCCTCCAGGAAGATCTGCGAACACCTCGGCCACCGAATCGTCGCTGATTACCCATGTCATGGCCTCCCCTCCGCATCCCAGCCGCTAGCCCCTCTTCCCTCCCAGCGGAAGGCAGTTATTCCACCAACTGCTCGTATGGGCGGCGACGAGTCAAAGATCCGTATCCGGCGCGCAGATAACGCTTTGCGCCGCAAGCCGCAAGCCTGCGCTGTCCTTTGAATCCTTTTCCATCAGCTTGTAATTTTCTCCTACACACACAATTTTGACGGTAGCAGCCTCGCGCGCAGCGACGAGGCGGAGTCTGTCGACGTACCAAGCGCGCGGACGCGCCCTGGCCCACAAAAGTGGTTTTGGATTCCAACGCACCTCCCGCCCAAAATCCACTTGAAGTATGCATGTACAAGAGCCCCTCTCGAGCGACGCCCTGGCCGGTCCGTCAAGCCGGATCCTGCCGCGGTGGCGAATCAGCCCTCCAAGGAAACGAGCACAGATCGCAGGGACGAGCGAGCCGCGGAGGAAATGACTGCACGCAAGACGAACCTGGAAGCGCGATCGCGCGAGACGGAGATTTATCCATCTACCGCCTGGGGAAACGATGCCATGGGACCTCAGGGGGCGGTGGATATGGATATAGCTTTGCCCCACGAGGCCCGAACACACCCATATCCGCCGCCTGTCAACTTCCAGGACAATCGTTCCCTGCGGAGTTTATATTGATAAATCCCCGCCACGAAGATCGGCAAAATTCGCCCCAGGCCTGCGACTCTGCATGGGCGGGCCAGCGTCTGCTGAGCCGGGCGCAGCTCGCGCGTGGGCGCCAGCACGACCGCCTCGGATGGGGAATCGAAGGGGAAAAAAACACGCGCCAGCCACCCTGCCCCCCAGAAGAGCGGGAAAGAAGTGCGATGCTGAGAAAGAAATCGGAATCGGGGAGAACGAAGGACACGAAGTGAAGACGGGCGTGAACGGTTGCCGTCCCACAAATACGAATTCCGGCCAGGTAAACGTCGGACACATATGAAAAGCGCGCATGTGACGGACATGACCCCGACAGCGGAAAGGTGACTTGGGCTAGAGACTGTCGGCGCAAATAGCCAGCCCCCTTGTGGGGCCACCAGGCTGCGCGGGTTACTCTTGCAGCTCCCTGCACCAATTCCGGTTTCCACTCTCCCATGTTATAATCATACTTTCTACTTCCTACTGTAAATTGTTTGGGGGGGGAGACGAAAAGAACCCCGTTACCTTCCCTTGGGGGTGTGCTCTGAATTCCCACGAAACCGTGGGACACATGAAAATATTTGAGATTCGCGCCCCCGCGGCAATATTCCCTTGTAAAATACGCAGTACTCACGTCCCCAATGCCACGATCCCCCGTGAACCACTCATGATTCGCGTCCCCGAGGCCACGATTCCTCGCACAAAGTACGCAACATGTGCGTCCTCGAAGGCACTTCTTATTGCAAGTTTGGACGAATATCATATCGGACAAAAGTCGCAAGAAACAAACAGATTGGACACAGGTCGCAACGTGCAAATCCTAATAGAACTAAGGCCTACCAGGACTCGTTCACCGGAGCTTTGCAGGCTGAACCACTTCCTGAGGAACTGGATGGGATGGCAAACAGAATCCAATACGCGATGAAAGCTGCTGCTGGGGTGACCGGGAAATCGTGCAAACAACGGCGCAAACCGTGGATCTAGGAACAGACTTTGACCTTATTCGCAACAATGGACATGGCCTGCAAGACCAAATCTTTGGAGGGAGCGAAACCTTATCAAGAAGATCCAGCGTTCCGTACGACAAGACAGAAAGACTTGGCTGAACAGACAACGTTGAGAGAGGCCACGGCGTGCTGTTCGGGCACTTCGCGCAGGCACAGCCAAGCGACATGCTCAAATCAAAGACCCGGCTGGGAATCTGGTGGAAAGCACCCAGCGCGGAGAAGCACTCGGATATCATTTGGAGAGTACACCAGGGAAGATAACGAACGAGAGCTCCCGACCAAACAGTAGCGACCCAGTCAGAGATGTGCTCCCCATCGACACGAACAAGTTCAGTATGGAAGACCTGCAGGAAGCGTTCAAACGACTATCCGTTAGGAAAGCGGCGGGAAAGGATGAACTACCACCTGAGTGTTGAAGCTTCTCTTGGGTAGCGTGGAGGCGTTCGGGCCAGTGCTTACAGTATACCAAACATGTTGGGAGATGTGCGCCATCCCGCACGATTGGAAAGTTGCATACATATCACTTCTGCTCAACAAGGGGGATGCAAGCGCACCTGAAAACTAGAAGCCCATATCATGACTGCTTGTCGAATACAAAGTCGTAGCATCTATGGTACAGCAACGATTACAACTTGGAGGTGTAGAAAGACGCAATCGTCAAACACAATTTAACTCCTGCCCTCGACAAAGCACCATGCAAGCTCTTTCTATTGCGCGCCCGATGTTCGACGCTGCGCACACGTCGGCGTCGCCTGAATTGCTGGCTACACTTCTGGACTAGGCCAAAACATTTGACATAATAAACACACAATTATCATTGAAACGCTAGGCAGATTTGGTATCCAGGAGCGGATGGTGGAGTTAATGAAACGGTGTATCTGGTGAATGGTATTGTACTGAAGGATGGTGGGGGACATTCAACTCGACGGCGACAACGCGCTGGCATCGCTCAAGGCTGCTCGCTCTCTCTCTCTCTCTCTCTCTCTCTCTTTCTCTCCCCCTCCATTCGTTCACCGTTGTACAGTCGGTGATCTTTTTCGACATTGACCGCAAAATGCGCGACAGAGACGACACTGTCGAAAAAACACCGTATGTGGTGTGCGCTGATTTGTTGCATGCGGACGCTACAATGCTCGTCAGATACTCTACGAAAAAAACTTCAAGCTTTACTCGATTACGTCATCGAAGGTGCACGCTACCGCTTAAACTAAACTGGGGCAAGACAATTGCTATTGGTAGAAACCACCAATGGAATGACTTCGGACCCGTCTGGGACACCAGCACACAAATGTTTGGCAAAGTTGTATACTTGAGGGGTCATTTGACGACAGACATGTCAGCCAAACCAGAACTATCCCGGAGAATTGGTGAAGCAAAGGGTATTTTCAAATCTCGACACGCATGCTGGGCACACGCGAATGCCACGCGAAGTAGAAGCATCGATCTGTACAAAGCCATCGTGAGACCAAAGCTACTGCACAAGTTTGAGCCCATGTGCATTTCAAACAAAAAACGCAAATTTGATGGGTTCCACGCACGCTGTCTCGGGAAAAAATGTCCAGCCCTCCCAGAAGACAACTTGTTACGAAGGCTCACTTGCGAACCGCATTCCAACAAGCAACGGCGCTGGGATGCACGCCTGAAGCGCGGGAGGCCGAAGCAACAATCGTCCGTATGCGATTCCAACCAATGTAACGATCATTGGTTTTAGCTTCATTTGTCATTCCTCCCCGTCTTCCCTCCTCCGCCCCACCCCTCCTCCCCATGATAGCGCGTGGCGCCGACATGTTTGCAGGGTGAATTCGTATCGTTGAAACTGCCCGCATTTCCGTCCCAGTGCCATTTCCTTTCCTGCCCGAGTCTGGGGCTATTGCTGGCGTTTTTGGTCACATTGATAGTTTTGATGGCTTGACAAACTGACGGATTGCGTCTGCGAGTCCATAGACCATACGCCTTGGCTAAATAATCCATAGTTGCGCCACCGAGGCCACAGCCACTCGCAAATAACACCATGCTCTCGTCGCCGAGGCCACAATCCCCTACATTACAAAGAAATCGCGTCCCCGAGACACGATCCCTTGCAAAGTGCCCCGAATTTGCGTCCTCGAAGCCATAACCCCTTGCAGCGTAAACACGGCTCGCGTCCTCGAAATCATAACACCTTGCAAAATATCCCATGTTTGTTTCACCGCGGCCACGATCCACGGTGATGCATATAAGATCCGCGCCCTCGAAGCCACGGCCTTGTGCTAATTACAATGGACTCGCGTCGCCGAGGTCACGATCCCCTGTACATGAAACAACGCTCGAATCCCCGAAACCACATCCCCTCGCAAATCACGCTGTAGCTGCGCCCTCGATGCCATCATCCCCCGTAGGTCATACAAGATTTCCCCCTTGTTGTTCCCAATGCCGTGCGGCTGAATCAAACACGCCACAGTAGAGGCCGCGTCATGGCGCCGTCCTTATGCGACCGAGGCATGAGGAAGGCGGAGTCCTCTTAAAGAGGCACCCCTGTAACTGGGCGCCTGCCCGCCAGCGTAAACTTTACACGGCGACGGGCCCCTGCTTGGGAGCTGGCAAACTTGGACACCCCCTTGCACTGAGCATGGAGGCGCTTGGCGCTGCCGCCCGCAATGTGGCACGCACCGCAAACCTTCCAGCAAGGACCCCCCCCCCGACCGGCAACGCCATGCCCAAGGCGCCCAAAGAGGTCCGACACAGGACTAATTTCGGGAGGGGATGGGCCTCTCCCCCGTCAGGGACCACCAAAGCTCTGAACATAGACATGTACGTCTTTTCGTGCAGAGCAACAGAATCGCTCAAAATCTTCGCAAATTCCAGCTCAGCTGCGTACCTCTGATACTCTGGCGGGCTGCATGGCATGGCACGGGTCGCGAACATGTCTTCACAGCACCTGATTGCCCCTTGCAAAAGTGTTCCCGTTCCTGCATCGGAATTGGCAGCGAAATCACACCCAGGCAAGGTCGCGCCCAGTGACGCCAGCAGCGCGACTGCCAGGGCTCGGCATCGGAGGCCTGAGCGCAGACTGGTCGCCCCCGGCGATCGCTGGCTCAACGCGGCGGGCCACCGCCCAAGACAAATAACGCGCGAAAGCCTGGGCCCCCTAGAGACTCGCTTGCAAATTGCAGCCAGGACCTGGGACACAGCAATATCCCCGGCCCCTGCTTCGGCGAAAACGCCGCCCCAGGCGCCCCCCAGGACCCTGAGGAAGGGCGCCCTATCATGCAGGAGCGCACCTTCGAGATCTAGATACGAGGGCACCCAGGCGAAGTGGCCACGGCGTCGGGGGCTGCGCACTCCGAGTCTTCGGTCGCCAGATCAGCTAAGTCAGACGCGATGAGCTCCCAATAGCCGCGCAGCTGCCTGGCCCTGGACGCGGCCCACCTTCCGGCGCTGTCGACAGCCTGACGCAGGTGCACAGGGGGGCCCCCAAGGCCGCGCGGAGCGGGGCCCTGCCGTCAGACATCCAAACGGATGCCCACCCATCCACGAAAAGTGGGGACGTTGCCCGCGAGGCCCGACCCGTCAGCGAAAACTGCCGCGCCCCAGAGGGCCCCGTCGAAGCCCCCATCACCCCAGATGCACGTCGGAGGCCCAGGAGGCGGAGGATGATGTCCCAGAGGCTATGCGGGAACACCTACGCACATGGAGAGCTTGTCCACGTCGGCTCTCCCACAGCCAATAGGGCCCTTTGTCAGCGCACCTGTCGCGGATTGCCAGCAGCTCTGCCGACGTGGCCCCTCGGCCCTCGTCCTCCAGACTGGCTCTGAGCGGGAGCCAGCGAAAGAATGCGCGCGCGTGTCTCTGGTATCTCGCCGCAGAGGTCACAAATCGAATACGGTGCTAGTCCACAGCTGGCTTGTCTGTCGTTCGCTCAGATCCCTCCAGCCCACGGGGATCTCGAGGCACCAACGCGAACGGTTTGCCCCATGGCGGCCGACTGACTGCCGACGCAAGGTCTCAAGCCGCAGCGCCAGATTCCATGTCCTCGAGACATATCCTCGCGGCTTTCGGGGAGCCGCTTGCACTGCCACCGCAGAACGCTTGCCCCGAGACGCTTTCGGGCCTGAGGGAGAAAACAT